ATATTAACATGACAGATACCCCCTTTTTTTTCCTTTGGCATACAGCTAGCTGTTTGAGTGATAGCTATCTTGTACTATTTTACTGTTTATTTTAATCAAACTGCCCCTTATTTAAGCTTATGTCGATTTATGCCTTTGTATCCATGTCAAAATTATAATAAAAAGTTATAAAAAATGTTTTTAAATATTAACACGATGGTAAACATGCTCAATAGTTTTACATAGATTAAACCCCTTAGTTACAAAGAAGTGTTGGAGATGTGGAATGGGGGAGGGGACAATGTTGCATATCTGGTGGTCTTGTCAGTTGCTACGGACATTCTGTTTTTGAGATAGGTGGGCATTTGACAGGAGTGTCTTTGCCGAAGACCCCGGAAGTAGTATTATTATCGATGCTTCCAGGATCACCCGCAAAGAGCAAGAGAGGTTTTCTGTCGTCAGGGCTAGGGCAATAATTCCTAGGCATTGGAAGTCTACAAGTATTCCCCAAACTCGGGAGTGGGTATGTGAATTTAATAATATAATGCATATGGAGGAGTTTACAACTCCACGATACATATTCTATGATTGAGGGGACATGGAGCACCTGGGTTGACTTTTCTACCTCCCCGAGAATTCAGATATACCTGTATCGAAAATGCAGGGCCAATGACACAGAGTTGATGACCCAATATCCATGTTACCCCCCCCCCCCCCCCCTCTTTTTTTTCTTCCCCCCCCCCCCCCTTTTTTGTTTCTTTTCTCTTTTCTCTTTTTTTCATTTTCTTGTATTGTTTGTCAAAGAGGGTGGGAAGATGTGTGAGGGTCTGTAGGAGATAGGTGAGGGAAGAAGGGGTATGAGGGAGTGTGAAGTATGGGAGATAGAGATGTAAGAGGGTTAAAGCTTGTTTTGATACTGAAGAGGCAGTAAAGTGGATACAAGGGAAAATGACATATATTTAAGTTGATATGTAGAAGCTGGAAAGAGGAATTTAAAAGGGGATATATGTTTTATATACTGTGTTGAGTGGATCAATAATGTAAAATTACATAACATAAGCTATATAAAAATTCACCCAATAAAATCAGACAATTAAAAACTGTGCTCCAGACAATTTTATAGATATAAACCAGCAATAGGGCCGCCGCCCACTTGTTTTTTCAAAGTGTTAGAGTCCAAGGTACTAGGAATGATCCTCCAGGCATGTAGGTGAGTATTCAAATATACAGAGGGGGCTTAATGTGGCACCATACAGGTGACGCATTTCACAGATTACAAGCTGCTTCATGAGACTATTTTATGCAAAGTAGATCTATCTTTAAACAGAAAGATGAACAACAGCAACATATTATGATCAGTTTCTAAATCAGGTATATGACACATACATGATGTTTTTTTTTTTTTGTACCCACATTGTGTCTTTAGGAGCATAAAGTATACTGTTGTCACCTCCATTAAACAGCCAGGTGCCATACATCGTCTATACCAGGGGTAGGCAAACTTGGCTCTCCAGCTGTGCTGAAACTACAATTTCCATCATGCTTCTGCCTCTGGGAGTCATGCCTGTGGCTTGCAATGCCTTATGTTATTTTTAGTTTCAGCACAGCTGGAGAACCGAGGTTGCCTAACCCTGGTCTATACCATACAGGTGACACGTTACATTGTCTGTACCAAACAGGTGACACGTTTCGCAGGGGGCAACATGGGACCAAAGGAGGCTTTCAGACAGTCTGCAATATGAATCCAAGATAGTAGTAAAACAAAGTACTGTTTGTTACTGTATCCATATCCCATCTTGTGTCTAAAGCTGGCCATACACCTTACAATTATCTGCAGATTTTCTGTGGTCAGATGGAAAGGTTGCAAGAGATTCCTCCATCTACACTTAACTGTGTGGATGGAGTAATCTCAAACCAGGCCAATCTGTTGCACTTTTTCCATCTGACTACAGAAAATCTGCAGATAATTGTAAGGTGTATGGGCACCTTAAACCAAATGGGCGGCGGCACCAATTGCTGGATTAGATCTATAAAACTGCCTGAAGCGCCGTTTTTAATTGTCCGATTTTATTTGATGATTTTTAATATATTTTATGCTATGAGATAAAATTAGGATATTTTTGTATACTTGTTATTGAATATTTATGTCATACACCTCAAAAGTCAATTACGGGTACTTACCTTAGTAAGTTGATACAATTGATTTAGAATTTTAGGATGTGGTGTACTGGACAATTGGTATGTTAGGTTGCACTTTAGGTTAATTAAAACTTTTACTTTAGTTGATTTTTACTTCCTGTTCTTTTCATGCGTACCCCTTGACAATCTATTTGTATAAACTGTACCCCTCAGTAGGGGTGGGGCTAATAGTACGGCATGTATCGTGCCATTCTGAATGGTTGGTGTGGCCAAATTGAACTTTAGGAGTGGCTTAAATGTCACTGTGTCAGTCTCAGTGGGATGAAGGGGAGAGCTAGGAGGCTGGGGGGCTTGTTGGGGTATGCCATATTGCGGTAGTGTGTCCAGTGTTATCTTGGCATCTTTTTGGGGCTCAGTTTGTGACAATGGATTCCCTGGATCTAGAGCTTCTTGCACTTAAGAGAAGTAAAGGGCAAATTGCTCAGCTGGAGACCAACTGTGGTGTTGGCAGCCGGAACTATAGAATAAGTGGTGGAAAATGCAGCTGATTACTCTGCAGACCTTCTGTACACATTCTTTCCACCGTAAAAAATAAATAAATATTTTTTCAAGTACCCCTAAATGTGCTGCCAAGTACCTCTTGAGGTACTTTTTACTAACAATTTTGTATGTGACAATACAGAGCAACAATATTAAAATCACTTAACTACAAAAAGTTAAGATAGTTTCATCCCTCTACTTGAAACTTAAGGAGCAGTGTTTGAAGCAAAGTGCTCACCTTGCCTAATATCAGATGTACTCTGCACAGTTTTTAAACCTGTTCATGTACTTTTTAAGTCGTGACATTTACACCAAATGGTTGGATCTCGCATTACTTCTTCTGACCTCTTATTGTGTAGTTTCATGATCTCACATTTCTCAACATGTTTAACCCCATTAGGCAAACCTAAAGTCCTCCTACCCCTTTCCATTTTAGGCAAGCATACATAGGGTGCTTTTCTTGAAATATGAGAAACGATTGGTCAGTGTAGTGTGTAAACCTTTAAATCTCCAAAAAAACAAACCATCTTTGCAGTGGGGCTAAATTGTTTTTGTCTAGGGGTATGGTGTAAAGCAGGGGTCTCAAACTCAATTCCCTCGAGGGCCACTCAACAAATGTTTTTCTCCTATGGGGGCTGCTTGCCAAGTTTCATACTTTAAAATAAAATGTAACTATATGCAATATGGTACTACGGACCCCAATACACACACAATAAGGCCCAATTCATATACATAGTATTTGAGGTTGAATAAAGACATATCTATAGGTTTAGGTGTGATTAGGGATTCCTGCGTCAAAAACTTGCATTTTCCTGCAACAGGAATCCCTAATCTGGCGTTTACAAGCGGTGGCTGTCACCCATTCAAGTTAATGATCAGGTGACAGCAGTTGCATGTAAACTCCTGCACACCGCATGTAATGATATGCGGTTAGAAAACACTATCCCTGAATACACAATCATTGTTACATAGTATTTGAGGTTGAATAAAGACATTAGTCCATCAAGTCCAACCTATTAGGATCTCATTCTAGGAGTACCTGTACCCCTGTATATTAAGGTCCCTTAAGAAATTGTCGAAAAGTTTCTTGAACAATTCCACATTATTTGCTGAAATCACCGCCTGTGGCAGTGAGTTCCAGACCCTAACTGATCTTACTGTGAAGAACCCGCTTCACCCCTTGTGCTGGAATTTTTCCACCAATTTTAGGTGGTAGCCTTGTCTCGTATCTCTGGTCCCCCCCCTCTTCTCCCACCTCTGTCCCTCCTAAACAGGTTATACCCCTCTATATTAGTAGCCCAGTCATGCGTGCTGTCCAGCCAGGTTTCCGCTATACCCACTATGTCGAAGTCCTCTTCAATTAGCCTAATTTCAAGCTCCTCTATTTTATTTGCCAGACTTCTAGCGTTGGTGTACATACATTTAATTCCTCTCTTTTTGTGGGACAAAAGTTTACTACCTTGTTGTTCCCCACTATTTTTATTGTTATTATTCTGCCTTGATTTCGGTCGTTTGTTGGTAGTTATACTTACATGTGTCCAGGGGTAGTGATTGATTTCTAACCGAATGTAATCATATCACATATCATTACATGCGGTGTGCAGGTGTTTACATGCAACTGCTGGCACCTGGACATTAACTTGAATGGGTGACAGCGGCCGCTTGTAAACGCCAGATTAGGGATTTCCGCTACAGGAAATGCATGTTCCTGATGCAGCAATCCCTAATTGCACCTAAAGATACAGGTGTGAATGGAGCCTAATACACTTATACCCCCCCCCCCCCCCCCCCAAAAAAAAAAAAACCCCCCCCCCCATAAAAAAAAAAACAAAAAAAAATCCCGCGCCCCCCCCCCCCCCCCACATGTAAATTAACAGACTTGGGAGCTGGCTGCAGGCCGGTACTTTGAGACCACTGGTGTAAAGCACTTTTACTTATCTACTGATCCCTGCTTCCCTGGCAGTCAGTGCTCACCTCTATACCCTCTGCTCCGGCAATTTGACTGTACAGTGGCATCCTTGAGTATAATGCAGGGCTATGGGCCCTGCATTAGATGTGATGACCTCAGCGGGCCTCTGACCACCAGAGGAAAGAGAGGAAGAGCTTGTGGGATTAGGGATCAGGTAAGTAAAAGTCCTTTACACAATTCCCCTAGACAAAAATGAGCAATTAACACTTGCAGTGTGGAGGTAGCCCCACTGCAAGGATAATGTTTTCTGTTAACTGGAGAATTTAAGGTGCATCTTGGGAGACAGGTTCGTTGTTCAAAATATTATCTCCATCTTACTTATAACAGAAATACACACATTTTTCAAAAATAAATATATATATGTGTATATATCTTACATTCCCATTTTCTTTGTGGTATTTTCCACTTTTGGTTCTCGACTGCATTCACTTTCTTTCAGAGCATCTTCACCCTTATCTGAAAGGATTTCATATAGTCCTTTTGGTTCTTTCTCGCAGTGAAATGAAGCATTTATTTCTTTGTCCTGATACATAAAAACATAAAGAAAAAAATGTAGAGCACACACAAAACAGAATGTTGTCTTTATTAACAATTCATGAAAACATGCCCCGGCCTACGTTAAAGATAAGAACAACATAAACATTTCTTAACTGCACTGTGTTTTCAGAAGTGCAAGGCTTAGAGTCATTTAAGGTCTAAATTAGACCATTTAGAAGGGGATCTGTGTCTTTAAATATGCATAGTCTAATTTCTTGCAACCAAACAAATTATTTACTATCATATCTGTTGGATATCTATCGATGAAACAATTAGAGGTTAGTAAGAATTTGTGGGAAACTGGAAAAAGCCCTTCAGATAACTGCTCACATAAGACTGCAATAACCATCAGTATATTTAATTGTACACAAAGTACTATGCATATATGTGCTTATAACCATCAGGGTGAGAACTGGATGCAACAGGCAAAATCCAGAAAATTATTTTGGAAAAATGACTACCAGTGTTAATTTTTTTAGTCATGAATTCAGAATTTTTAAACTGTGCTCTGTAGTTGAATTTTATCACGTATACAGAGTCCTGTATTAATTCAGAATGATCCTGCCAGCCAAACATGATCTATTGTACTTTCAGAATCTTGGGTTTTAATTATGTTTTTCTTAGGCATGCAATGTAATTTTTAGATCAGATTCTCTGGAAGATCAGAATATATCTGCAGATAAAGAAGGAATGTAGGAAATCCGAAATGACAAAACCCTGTTATGGTGCTCCTAACTGCTAAAAAATTAATTGTTCTGGAGGAAAAAATGGAGAACAAAATACAAGTGCGGTATCTCTCTGCAGTTCGAGTATTGGGAGAGCAATGCCACCCAAGTAAAATATATCTTAAAAAAAAAAACGAGGATTTATCAAAACTGGAGCAGACAACATTTGGAGCAGCTGTGCACAGCAACCAATCAGCTTCTCTCTTTCATTTTCAAATCCTACGTGAACAAACTTCATAGGGAAGCTGATTGGTTGACATAGGCAACTGCCTATTTTTCTGTCTGCTCCAGTCTTGATAAATTCCCTCCAAAATGTTTCATTTAAAAAAAATATTTATTTTTGTTCCGCACAATATACCAATAATCAAAATAAAAGCAAGGCAAGTTGAAAACAGGAGATCAAACAACAGTAGTATAGTATCAAAATGTGCAAGGGTAGAGACAGTGGAACTGAGTATACCCTAACCGTAAAATACCCCAAAAATATCACAATGAAGGGCATACCATGCAGAAGGTTTTATTTTATACAAGAGAAAGAGGAAAAATATATAGTAAGCAGAGTGCACAAATGAGGGCAGTGAATCATAGGAGAGAAAAAAAAGAGGGGAAAAAAGGGGGTGGACCCTTACCTGGATGGTTAAACCCCATGCTAACACAGGATAAACAGTTTTCCAGAGCCAAGTGGTCAATCATCACAGTAAACCTCAGTGTAAACAGAAGAGTAGCCATAAGAACCACGTTTTTTCTAAAATCTTCGGGTCTGTCTATCAAGGGCGCCATCAGATCCTTCATTTACATTGTGTCATTCACCCAAGCAAACCATTGTGTCATAGTGGGGGGTTGGGGCAGCTTTCAGTTGCTTGGAATGCAGGCTTTCGCAGCATTATGTAGATAATTAAGAGAGTTGTTTTATATCGAGATTTGGAAACGAGTTAAATGAAGAAGACATGCTGAGGGATCATTTCCCAAGTTAACCCCAGGTAACTCTTGTATCAATTTTGTAACCTGAGACCAAAAGATCTGTATCTGGGGACAAGTCCAAAACAGGTGCAATAACGTGCCTTCAGCAGTGCAACATCTCCAACAATGGTCCGATGTATTAGGGTATATTCGGGCTAAAACCGATGGGGTTCTCTACCATCTAGTCAAGAGTTTATAATTAAGCTCCTGGGTTTTGTTGCATATCGAGGCTTTGAGAGTGAAGTGCAAGATGTGGTATCGTTGAGTATCAGAAAATGAGACACCCAGGTCCCGTTCCCACTTCTGGAGAAAGGAGGACTCAGGAAGCTGGAAAGCAGCCAAGGGTAATTAATAGGATAACGAAAGACCACCCTTAGTTGGGTTACTCTGCTTGCAGACCTCCTCTAAGAGAACCCAGAAAATGAGAGAGCTGAGCTCTGCACCAAAAACTCAGCTCTAGATCCTCTGAAAGGGAGCCCTGGGGGCAAGAGACATGCCAGTTAGAGGAAGGCAAAAAGACTTTCACTCGTAAATGACTGAGGCAAATACAAGCATTAAAGAACTTATCCCCCTGACTGGCAGGAAAGTTCGGGTGCCCTACAACAGATGCCTGCAAGGTAGGGCCAAGCAGGGAATGGTGTCTGAGAGCTGACCTTGCTGACCCCCGTTGGCCATGGGAGACTGGCCAGGGGAGTAGGAGAGAAAGCCTGTTCAATTAAAACCCACAGCTTGGAATGAGCATGGAAGGACCAATTGATTAATCGAGCCAGGTGAGAAGCAAGGTGATACATCGCTGGATCGGGAAGCCCTACACCATCTGTAGACTTAGGCAATAAAAGGACCTGTCTCGTTATACAGGGGAGGTTATCTGCTGAGCGCAAAGATTTGAAATAAGCTTGAGGTACCCTAATTCCCCGAAAATAAGACCTAGTGCTATTTTTGGGAATTGCTAAAATATAAGACCTACCCCGAAAATAAGACCTAGTTGTGACCATTCCCAGGTGGCAGTGGCATAAGGGGGAACTTAAAGAGCCGTGGGAGAGAATCAGTGGTGCCAACGAAGCCAGCGCTAGAAGAAGCAAGGTGGCACCGGAGGGAGCAGAGACGCATATGCCGATGCCTCCTCTATAGCGCCGGCATCTGTCACAGGCGGAGTAATACCAAATGCACTCCACATGTGAGGAATCGATAGTGAAAGCGTGCTTCGCTCATTCTGGCCAGCGATTGGTTAGCAAATTGCTCTTGGAAAGGTACGGCACTCCTGATTGCCCTGATCACCATATTTTTGTACATGAATACATGTAGACTTTTCCACATGAATAAGTGTGGATTGTTGCACATTTAAAAAAATAAACAAGACCTACCCTGAAAATAAGACCCAGTGTGTTTATTTGAGCCAAAAAAAATATAAGACAGAGTCTTTTTTTCGGGGACACACGGTATATGTACAGGTAAAGTTTGGAGAAGGTACAGGACTCTGGGGAGAGCCATCATGTTAAGGGAATTACACCTGCTGAACAAAGAAATAGTGGTCTTACCCCAGACCTCCAAATCTTTACGTATAAAATGTTTCTTTTTACAACCCCAATTCCAAAAAAGTTGGGACGATGTGTGAAATCTACATAAAAATAGAATACAATGATTTGCAAATCTCATAAACCCATATTTTATTCACAAAAGAAAATCTAAAACATCAAATGTTTAAACTGAGAAAATGTACCATTTTAAGAAAACAAAAGGTAATTTTGAAATTGATGGCAGCAACACATCTTAAAAAAGTTGGGACAAGGCAACAAAAAGCTGGCAAAGTAAGCGATACTAACAACTATTTGTTACTAACAACAAAAATTTCAAACCCGAAATGAAAAAAATTTCAGGCCGAAACCGAAAATGTTTTTTATTCTAACTTTTTCAAATTTAAATATTTAATTTATTTTTATTAAATATATTTTTTTATATTTAATTTTTATTTATGTTAAAATATTTTTATTTTTTACTTTACTTTTAGGGGCTTTAGGAAAATATTAGGGGTCTAAACAGACCTCTAATTTTTCCTTTTTAAAATAGAAAAAGATATTAAGAACACAGAGTCCTCAATCTCTCTTTCGGCAGTCCCAGTTATAAATGAACAGGAATCCTCTACTGAGTGTTCCTGTTCATTCATAACTTGTGGACATAGTGTGTTTATTATATCCACAATCATGAATGAAAATGAAGTGATGTAGATCACTCCCATTCACTCATAATTGAGGACACAGTAAACATTCTCGCTCCTCAATTATTTACAAACACTCAGCGGTCACTGATCCTACATCCTGACACGTTGTCACAGGAGGCTGGGCGGTGCAGGAGGAGAGCTCAGCCTCCTGCGACAGCAATGACAGCTGTCTCCGCTCACACTGCCGCTCTCCTGATCTGTGACAGGAGGCTGACCATGAGAAACGCCGGCCGCTCACTGTGCTCTCCTCCCACACCTCTCAGGCTCCTGTGACAGTTTCTCTTCTGCCTGCTGGGACACAGAGCAGCGCCCAGCGGGAAGGAGAGAGATCACGGATGCACCGCTATTTCGGCCAAAAAATTGCACTTTCTGCATTTTGCAAAATATATCGGTGCATCCCTACTAATTAGGTTAATTGTCAACAAGTCAGTACATCATTAGGTACAAAAAAAAGCATCTTAGAGAGTCAGTGCCTCAGAAGTAAAGATAGGCAGAGGTTCCCCAATCTGTGAAAAGCTGCATCTAAAAATTATCGAACAATTTCAGAATGTTTCTTAACGTAAAATTGCAAAGACTTTAAATATATTATCATCTACATTACATAATATAATCATCAAAAGATTCTGAGAATCTGAAGAAATATCTGCGCAAAGGACAAGGTAGAAACGCATAATTGTATGCCCATGATCTCCGTGCCCTCAGAAGGCACTGCATTAAAAACAGGCATGATTCTGTGATGGACATCACTGCATGGGCTCAGGAATACTTTGGAAAAAAAATCAGTCTGTGAACACAGTTCGCATTGCCATCCAAAAAAGCAAGGCTCTATCATGTAAATAAGCCAAATCTGAACATGATCAGAAATGTCTTCATTTAAAATAATCTGTCAAAAAGTGGGAAACTGTTCTGTGGCCAGACAAATCGAAATTTGACATTCTTTTTTGCAACCATGAGCGCATTGTCCTCTGGACTAAAGAGGAGAGGGACGTTCTGGCTCGTTATCAGCGCTCGGCTCAAAAGCCTGCATCTCTGATGGTATAGGGGTGCATTAGTGCATATGGAATGGCAGCTTGCATATCTGGA